AGTGTGGGGAAGGGTAGAGAAATTTAAAAAGGGCACAGAAGAAATTTTTGGGATGATGGGTATTTTCACTATCTTGATTAGGTGATGGTTTCATCACCTATGTATGTATATGCCCAAAGTTATCAATTTGTACTACTTTAAATATGTGTAGTTTATTGTATGTCAATAATATCTTAATTATGCTGTTTTTAAAAAAATCCCTCTGGAATAGAAATTGCAGAATGAATATATATATATATATATATATATATATTTAATATCATACAATTACTCCTTTGTCAATAATCAATTGACTATATAAATAGTCAATTGATTATTGACAAAGGAGTAATTGCAATATAATGAAGCAAATACAGTTTTTCAACAAATAGTGCTGGAACACAATGAATCTAGATAGACCTTACACTCTTCACAAAAATTTAACTCAAAATGAGTCACAGATCTAAATGTAAAATGCAAAACTACCCTAAAAGATAATATAGGAGAAACCCTAGATGACCTTGGGTGTGGTGATGACTTTTTAGATACAACATCAACAACTTTTCATAACAAAGTCCATGAAGAAGGGGATCAATAAACTGGACTTCATTAAAATGAAAAACTTCTGGTGTGTGAAAGACAATGTTAACGTTAATGAGAAAACAAGTACAGACTGGGATAAAATATTTGCAAAAGACACAGCAATAAAGGACTGTAATCCAAAATATACAAAAAACTCTTAAAATTCAATAATAAGAAAACAAACAACCAGATTAAAAAATGGGCCAAAGACTTTAACAGACACCTCACCAAAGAAAATATTCAATGGCAAATAAGTATATGAAAACATACACTCCACAGCATATGTCATCAGGGAAATTCAAATTAAAACAACAATGAGATACCACTACCAGAACTACCAAAATTTCTAGCACTGACAACACAAAATGCTGGGGAGGATGTGGAACAAGAACTCTCATGTACTCAAAGTACAGCTACTTTGGAAGATATTTTGGTGGTTTATTACAAAACTAAACTTACTTTACTATATGATCCAGGAATCATGTCCCTTGGTATTCACCCAAGGGAGTTGAAAATTATGTTCACACAAAAGCTTACACACAATACTCATAGCAACTTTATCCATAATTGCCAAAACTTGGAAACAACCGAGATATACTTCAGTAGATGACTGGATGAATAAACCATGGTATGTCCAGACAATGGAATATTATTTGATACTAAAAAGAAATGAGCTATCAAGTTATGAAAAGACATGGAGGAAACTTAAATGCATATTATTAAGTGAAGAAGCCAATCTGAAAAGTCACATATTGTAAGATTCTAGCTATTTGACATTCTGGAAAGAGTAAAACTATGGAGACAGCATAAAGATCAGTGGTGGCCAGGGAGTGGTGGGGAGAATAAATATTTGGAGATAGGATTTTTAGGGCAGTGAAAATTGTCTTCATGATACTATAGTGATGGATACATGCCATTGTACAATTGTTCAACCCCACAGAATGTACAACACCAAGTTAACCCTAATGTAAACTATGGACTTAGGTGATTATAATGTATCAATGTAAGTTTATCCTGTTACAATACACTGTTTTGGTGAGAAATGTTGATCATGGGGGAAGCTATGCATATGTTGGTGCAGGAAGCATATGGGAAATCACTGTGCCTTTCTTTTAGTTTTGTTGTGAACCTTAACCTGCTCTAAAAATTAAGTCTTAATTTAAAAAATCCCTTTGGCTGTTCAATGCAGAACTGACTCTAGGTAAGTAAGAGTGAGAAAGAGAGACCATTTACAGTGATCCAGGTGAAAAAGGGAAGTGGCTTGAACTAGGTTGGCAGTAACAGAGATGAAGAAAACTGGGCAGATTTGTGAAATATTTAGGAAATAAAACCAACAGAAGTTGGGAGAATGTCCACCATTTTCCAAAGGTCTGTTCATCCTGGCTTTCCAAAGCAAGGACCTAAGAAAAATTACATTAATACAATTCCCTTGAAATTGCAGAGGAATCCAGTGACAAAAACTTTACCCTCACTTCAGATGTCCTGGGAGAACACCACTGATGCTAATTTTGTTGCTAAGAAACTACAAAGAAAAAGGAGAAGGAGAAGAAGAAAAAGAAGAAGGAAAAAAGATGGCACAGGCACATATTTTATGTAATATTCAACAGTGTCTCTTGATCTTTTTTAAAGCCCTGGAAAGAAAATAAGATGAGAAGGGAGATGAGAGTTTAAAATTCAGAGTAAAGTGGATGCCCTATTATGTTCACAGTAATTAGCCTTTCCTGACAATGATATAAACGTTGATAGCACCCCTTTTAAAAATAAAACACAATATGATTCTTTAGATTTGTAGAGTGCTCTCCTGTTTACTAAGTTGTTCCATCACCTTCTCTAACTACTACTTCAGTCTTCTAAGGTAGGAATTATTGGCCATACTTTTCTGATGAAAAAACTCTGAAGACCATTTTGGCATTGTAGAAAAAGCATGAACTTTGGAATCCTTCAGATCTGGGTTTAAATGTCTGTCAGGCTGCCATTTATTTAATGGGGAACTTCAGAGAATTATTTCAAAACTCAATTTTTAAGGCTTCTTTACCTTTATCCAAGGAGTTATTTCACTACCATTAGCATCCCCTCCATGTACCCACCCTCTATTGAGTGTAAATAAGAAAACTCAAGTCAGTCACAGCACTCTAAATTGTCGCTGTCAGAAAGATCATCTACTCCAGCCTCTATCTTCTCCTCTCCCCATTTCACAGGGCAAGAAATTGAAGCTGAGGAATTGGAAGAGATTCATTATCAGTCTGTAGACAGTTCTCCTGTCTCTGAGATCTATGTTATTTTCGTTCTACTTTCTCACCAGCCCAGCTGACTCAATTCTCTTTGAGCAACCCTAGTTAAAAGCTTTGGTGGAACTAGAGGTTGTGATGACTATTCAAATAAAGTTTTCAAAGTATCTGTGCATTTCAATTACATACTCCTGTTTCCTATTATAATGGGGAATTGAAAATTAGCCTTGTTACAATTTGACCTGTCTAAGAATAAGACTATTTCTTTACCATAAGGGGTGATTTGTGAGATTCCTCACTAAAAATGGCAGACAGGGGTATATTTGGGATATATGCAGGCAAGGCTGAAGCCATTAAAATACCAAGGGATAATTTTCACCACTTCAGGTACAAAAGCCTTTGCATTCTGGAAGATTCATTTATAGCTCTTGTCCAAATGCCCTTGACATTGATTAATCTAGCTAAAATACCAATGAGATGGAAGACTAGTTTGCATTCTACTAATGTGGAACATAGAAAAAATAATGTCATTGTTTCAATGTCTTCATCTGGAAAATAGAGCTGATCATACCCATTCTTCCCTGCTTTTAGGATTAAGTTACCTCCTTTGGTCAGAGTAAGTAAATGCCCATGCTTGGCTGTAAACAATGTTGAGTCTCTGTAGAAGCCTGTAAATAGTAGAAGAGATCCACACAAAAATCTACACCAGCATTCTGGGAGAGACAGACCCTGCCCAAAACTAGAGGTGTAAGAAATTTAAAGGCTAGGGAGGCCAAGGGCCCCTGCTGACACAAAGGGAAACCTCCTTTCCCATAGGTCTACCCTGCGACTTCTACTCTTCCATCCCCAATCTGCCTGTCCATCTTTACAGAAAGACTATGGTCCCTCCTCCATAAAGGGGCAATTGCAATATCCCACTTCAACCCCCAGTCCTGGTGGTCCACCAAGAGGAAGGAAAGCAGTCCCATGTAGTTTCCATTATTTGAATAGTGCAGTTTCCAAGCTTAAGATATGCAAGGCAACTTGGAAAAGTAAGTGCCTGTATATAAGCAAAGGGTTGCAAAACCCTGGACAAAATCAAGGTCCCTGTGCACATGACCAGGGTTTTTGGTGTTTGTCTGCTTATCTGGGTGATTTTGCCTTTGCACATCTGGATAGATGAGAAGTGTATGTTTAGATGCAATTTGACAGGAAAACGAGAAGAAAAGAGGGTAGAAATGACCTCTGGTTATTAGGCAGAGGGTTCCTAGAGCAACTGGCATCTGCCACAAGGCCCAATCTACCCCTACAGAGAAATTTGGAAGGTTTCAGCAAGTATCAGCAGCCTTGGCCATAGCTTCTTCCTCAGTTTGTAGGAGACCCTCCCGTCTGTGCTTCTGTCTGCCTTGAACATATAGTCCCTCTCCTGAGACACTGGTACTCCTATCGCCCCTACCTACTCCCTTTCCCTTCACACACAGAGTCTGTTTTGAGATTGGACTTTGGAACCAAATCTGTAAGTGTTGGCCTTCAGGAGCTCCTCTTAGCCCTGTCTTCAAAATAAAGCTCTGGGTTAAAGCTTCAGCTCTGGCACCTAAAACCTGGTCCCTGCAAGTAAGAGGTATTCAGGGAGCTAGGGCCCTCCTGGGCTATAGAAATCCACTCCTGCCTTCACCTACGCTGCGCCAGCACTCATTTCTCCAAAGCCACTCGGCGTAAGCGCGCAGTGAGGGGAGGAGAGAAAAAGAAAGGGGAGGGGAGGGAGAAAGGAGGTGGGAAGGCAAGGAGGCCGGCCCGGCGGGGGCGGGACCGACTAGCAAACTGTTGCATTTGCTCTCCACCTCCCAGCGCCCCTTCCGAGATCCCAGTGAGCCAGCGTGCCGGGAGAGCTGGAGGGTCCGGAATAAACGCAGAGGCAGAAGAGGCAACAGAGGAAAGCGACCTAGATAGCCACTTCAGTGCCGGACAGGCGCTTAAGGGACGTACGGCGTCAACCCCAGCTGGGCTTCAGCTACAGCGAACGCTTCTTGCAGTGTGGCGGATTGAAGCCTCCGCCCCAGAGCTGCCCTTTCCTCTTCGGTGAAGTTTTTAAAAACAGCTAGAGACTCGGAGGAAGCGAGGAAAGTGCCGGGTAGGACTGAGGGCTGCCTTTGTCCTCCTCCCCTTCACCCCGCCCCCCCCCTCCTCTTCTGTTGCTGCCTTGGCCCGCTCCTGTCTGCCCGTCCCCCTACCCACCCCCCGCCCCCAGTCGGCCCAGCGCGGCCAGCCCGAGTTTGCAGAGAGGTAACTCCCTTTGGCTGCGAACAGGCGAGCTAGCTGCACGTTGCAAAGAGGGCGTTGGGGAGCCGGGCAAACAGTGAGCCGCTTCAGCACTGCAGCTGGGACCCGGCTAGTTAGGCGGTACGCGGGGCGGGCCCCCAGGTTCCCCTCATTTCCTTTCCACCTCCTACTGCACGCAGCAGCCGGCCCTGTTTGCAGGACCAAAGACCAAACAATGAAAGGCCAGAGGGCAGTGGGGGCTTCAGTAGACGATTAAAAACGAAAACAAAAACAACCAACCCAAACAAACCCTCAAACCCAAAATAAAGCATAAAGAGAATAACCCGGTTCCTACTTGCACCTGCTTCAGTGGACACTGAATTTGGAAGGCAGAGGGTTTTTCTTGTTTTTGTTTTATTTCCTTTGAGACTTGGGCATCTCTTGACTCTACCCTCCCAAGATTTCAGGAGCAGGCTGTGAGCCTAGCAGGGCAGATCGTGTCCAGTGCTTGTTTTCCTGTACAGGAGACCTCAAGTCTGTCAGAGTGCTCTTGCGTGGTTATTCCTGCAAGTTTCTTTCCCAGGAGCTTCCCGCAGGTGGGCAATTAGCTGCAAGGACTACCGCATCGCAGCCTGTTGAACTCCTAGCTAGAGAAGGGGAAACGGGATAAAGGAATTAGGTGGAAGAGTCAGCCAAGCTCAAGGATGGAGGTTCAGTTAGGGCTAGGGAGGGTCTATCCTCGGCCTCCATCCAAGACCTATCGAGGAGCTTTCCAGAACCTGTTCCAGAGCGTGCGCGAAGTGATCCAGAACCCGGGCCCACGGCACCCTGAGGCCGCGAGCGCAGCACCTCCCGGCGCCCGTGTGCAGCAGCAGCAGCAGCAGCAGGAGACCAGTTCTCGGCAGCAGCAGCAGCAGCAGCAACAGCAGCAGGGTGACGATGGCTCTCCCCAAGCCCAGAGAAGAGGCCCCACAGGTTACCTGGCCCTGGACGAGGAACAGCAGCCTTCCCAACAACAGTCAGCCCCCAAGGGCCATCCGGAGAGCGGCTGCGTTCCAGAGCCTGGAGCTGCTTCAGCCACCGGCAAGGGGCTGCAACAGCAGCAGCCAGCACCACCGGACGAGGATGACTCAGCTGCCCCATCCACGTTGTCCCTGCTGGCCCCCACTTTCCCGGGCTTAAGTAGCTGTTCCACCGATCTTAAAGACATCCTGAGCGAGGCCGGCACCATGCAACTCCTTCAGCAGCAGCAGGAGGTAGTATCCGAAGGTAGCATTAGCGGGAGAGCGAGGGAGGCCGCTGGTGCTCCCACCTCCTCCAAGGACAGTTACCTAGGGGGCAGTTCAACCATCTCGGACAGCGCCAAGGAGTTGTGTAAGGCAGTGTCGGTGTCCATGGGCTTGGGTGTGGAGACATTAGAGCATCTGAGTCCCGGGGAACAGCTTCGGGGGGATTGCATGTATGCCCCAATCCTGGGAGGTCCACCCGCGGTACGTCCCTGCGCCCCGCTGGCTGAATGCAAAGGTTCTCTGCTGGATGACGGCGCAAGCAAGGGCACGGAAGAAACTGCTGAGTATTCTCCTTTCAAGGCAGGTTATGCCAAAGGGTTGGATGGCGACAGCCTGGGTTGTTCGGGCACGAGTGAAGCCGGGGGCTCCGGAACACTTGAGTTGCCATCCACCCTTTCTCTCTACAAGTCGGGAGCACTAGATGAAGCGGCGGCTTATCAGAATCGCGACTACTACAACTTTCCGCTCGCCCTAGCCGGGCCGCCGCCCCCTCCGCCCCCTCCCCATCCTCACGCCCGCATCAAGCTGGAAAACCCGCTGGACTACGGTAGCGCCTGGGCGGCTGCTGCGGCACAATGCCGTTACGGAGATCTGTCGAGCCTGCATGGTGGGGGTGCAGCGGGACCCAGTTCAGGATCACCCTCCGCCACCGCCTCCTCTTCCTGGCACACTCTCTTCACAGCCGAAGAAGGCCAGCTGTATGGGCCCTGCGGCGGGAGCGGAGGCAGCAGCGCTGGCGAGGCAGGGTCTGTAGCCCCCTATGGCTACACTCGGCCACCTCAGGGGTTGGTAGGCCAGGAAGGTGACTTCCCGCCACCTGATGTGTGGTATCCCGGCGGTGTGGTGAACAGAGTTCCCTATCCAAGTCCCAGCTGTGTCAAAAGCGAGATGGGCCCCTGGATGGAGAGTTACTCTGGACCCTATGGGGACATGCGGTAAGTTTCTCCTCCTAGACATGTCGTTGAATGTAGTTAGTTGGCTTCTGGGGTATCTCTCCTCTCCTACCTATGGGAACACTCTACCCCTGTGAGAGTTCAACAGTGTTCCATAAAAAAAAAAAAGGCCATCCTGAATCTGGAGCCTTCTGGGTATTCCTAGCCTGTCAAAGATAAGACCACTGTGCTCAGAACCCCCACTGTGTGCCCCAGTCCCCACCACCGAGGCTCCTGGGTGCTGGTGTGTGCCCTTCCAGATACCATAAGGACACCTCCCTTACCTCTAGCCCCTTAAAATCCTCAGTACCTCATGGTGCTCCATGTCCCAAAGGCTCCAAACTTAAGTCCAATAGTAAGAGCCACCTTCAGAAATAAAGCTCTTAAGCCCTCCGTAATTTTTCTTCTCCCTCTTCCCAAATCTGAGGACCTGGACAGGAAATATGGGCAGTTTCATCTCTTAGAGTGTGTTAGGGTTTGCCCTCCAGCCTGTGGCCATCTTGGCAGGTTAAAGGCAAAAAGATCGGCCCAAATTTTTCTCAGTCCGCCTCCTCCAAAGAGATAAAATGGAGGTGCCGGATTAAGGGAAGAAGGTCTGAGTTCTCTGTGCTCTGAGGGCCACTGCATGAAGACAAGGTGAAGTTCATTCCCTGGCAACAATTGAGGACTTGCCCCAGGGTTGGAGTCGGCAGAGAGAATCTAACCCGGCAGGAGAGCAAGCAAAGGTAGAGGAAAAGGAGAGGACAATTTTGTAGGTAAACACTGGGCAGTATTTACTCTTACAGGTTGACCATGTTGGAAGTAGCTGCTTGAGTCGGTTTTCTCTTGTAAAGTGTTTATTTTCTCTATGGAGTACAGCAGATCCACAGTCCCCTACTTTAAGTTTGCATCAGGCCCATAGAAGAGGAGAATGTTTTTTTTTAATGAATAATTTAGCCAGGTTTGAATCTGACTTATAAAGTGTTGGAAAATTTACTTAAGAGTTTCCTGCTAGTCCACTGTGCTCAGAAATTGCTTTTAGGAGGGAGGAGTGAGGCTCTCCCATATATTCCTTCATTTTTAAGAATATGCTTGCATTTTTAATTAAAGTGAAGTCCTACAGTGTTATATTAGACGTGCTTGTATTTTGAAACATGAGCTGCTACCTCTAACAAACTTAGTAAGAACTGTTAGGTACCTAAAGCCATAATTTTGCCCATGAGTTTTAATTAGGATATGAGAAAAGTGGTGATCAGTTTCACATACCTTGCTTATTAAAAATTATTCCCGCATTTGTTGAGCTTATTGGAGATCATGTTGAGGATTCTCTCCCCAACCCCAACAAAGATATTAGTCTATCTCAGTGAGAGAGGGAATACTAACCAAGGAACTAACTCCTCAGGTGTGCTGGGTACTTATGTACCCTTGGAGTTGTGTCTTGTTATGTTTTGTTTTAGCTGTTTGTTTTATCTGTGACTTTTTCAAAATGTCTTTGTTGGCCTTCATATCTTTGGCGACTTAAATCCAACAATTTGCCTCCTTTCACTGATGCTTTTGTTCCTGGAAGGTTGATAGAACAGTGTTAGGACAGAAAGAGGAGGATAGGATTTCATAAAATATTATTTTTAGGGTTATTGAAGAAACAGCTTCTTACCAGTCTTTACATCCTAGTATTAGATTTTAAGTGTTTAGTTTACAGGATTTTCAAAGGTCATCAAAATGTTTTCCAGTTAGTATTTTTTGAAATATTTTTGCAATGTCGTTATACTGTGGAATAAAAGGTTTTCTTCATTTTATAAGAACAGATTTACTTGGTAGGGTCACTTTTTTTTTCCCCTAGGGTTGTTGCTAGTCAGTTCTACGATGAACTTTTTTGAGGGATGGGGACGTCTCAGGTGCTTCTTGACATAACCATGATGCTAAACTGGAACCTTCTTTCTTCTGCACACCTTCCCCAACAATTAACTCATTAATAGGGAGGGAATGAACAATTTCAAATCTTTGTTAAGGGATGTGTTTCTTTGAAAATATAACCTGAGATTTACAGGAAGTAGCTATAGAAAGCAAAAAGTTCTTCCCATCAGGTGTGCAGTAAGCTAGGTTATTTTATCCCATGTCTTAGTGGGACATTTTCTCTGTTAGAAAGACCTGCTTAAATTATTGACCTTAAATAGTGAGAATTTAGCAGTACCCAAAGAAAGTAAAAGATAATGAATCTTTCCTGGTTTGTGGTTGCAGCACTGGCTATGAGAGTCTGGTGAAAGGGAAAACTGGCATTCCTGTCTTGTAGGTTAAAGGAGAATTTTCATTTCTAGGATATAGAGAATTGTTGAGTCAGTTTGTTGAAAATTTTCAATTTTATCAGAATGCAACCAACCCCAGTCTAAAAGTTGACATTTTCTTACTTTTTCTTTCTTTCCCTCACTTTGTTGGGGCACAGTTTGGTGAAAAGCAAGGGATTTTTAAAGCCAAAGCAAGAACTTCCACCCTGTCTGTATTGCATGCATTGTGTGCTAAATTCGAGTTAAAAGATCTAAAAATTCTAGAGGCTTCAAATAATGTCGGATTCCTCCCTTTCCCAATTGTGTGTGTTCATACATATTAGTTAATTGGAGGAGGGGGTTAACTTTAGTTACTTTTGGAATAACTCTATGTTCTTCTACATCTACAATGTTTCTGCTCAAAGGAGAGAGGCGGGAGGAGAGAATCTGAAGGTGGTCCTTTAAAACAAAACAAAACAAAACAAAACAGAAACAACAACAACTTAATTGAGCATGTGGTTTGAACAGAAGGAATAATAATGGGGCTTGTGTACAACCCTGATGATATTTAATGGAGCTGTATTCTTTCAGAGATCAAACAGGACTACAACTTTGTTAATTGACCACCTGCCCACTTGACAGAAGTAAAACCTTCTCTATTTCAGCAAGCAGCACAATAATATGGAAAATACTCTTGGGAGTTGAGCCCTAAGGAAGACAGTGCCAGAATAAAAGTTGGGATTTAGATTAATTATCCGGATGCAAAAAGAACATTTTAATTTTTCTCTTGGTAACTTGTTCTGATCTTTATATAATAGGTAGTATTTTTGTAGTGCTTTGAGATCGGCAAATCCTGCTTTTTTTCCTCTTAGTTATTTAAGAAGAAGACATTTTATTAATCCCCTTTCCATCTCCTCTCCCTTCTTCAGTTATCAGGTAAGTTTTATGACTTTTGCAAGGAGCAGTTTATTTTGTAATGCAGAATTTTGCTTTGGAACGAAGATAGTGGGACGCTTTCTGTCCATAGTCCTTGAGAGTCAGTATGTTGTAAAGAAGCATCCTTTCTTCATCGTCAGCAAATAACTAGTGAGTTATGTTTGGGTACCAGTGATCAGAACCAGAGGACCAAGTAGCCACACTGGGTAGTAGTATCCCATTTAGAAATATGTGCAAGATGTACTGATGGAAGTCTCCTCTTTGTTGTCCACAGAGTATCTCTTTTAGCTCGGCCAAAGGTTAACATCAGTAAAAGATGTTTTCCAAGAAGCTTGTAGCCTTCCAATTGCGGGGTCACTTTGGGGCACTTTCTTGCCAGTGCTAATTTTACCTCATCAGACTTTCATTCTCTGTGTTATAAACTTAGATATATCAATATAATATATTGAATTTGTGGGCACATTAAATTTTCTTTTTTAAGTGTCTTTTTTCCCTGTAATAATTTTCTCCCTTGGTGTGCATATACACATTTAAAACAATGAATCCTTAGGATAACGACTCTTATTTGTACTCTGACTGCTCTTGGTGGGATTATGAGTTGCAGTTAGGGACCTAGACAATTTTATTTTATTTTTCCATGGTGGTATCAAGACCATCAGTTTCATTTGGAAGTCTGCTCAAACAGGGAACAGAATGCAGCCTAGGTGTGGTAAGCAAGGGACTTATTTTATAATCAAACCTGAAATCATGATCCTGAAAAATGAAAAGCAAACAAAAATCAAGTTTTGTGAGGTTGGTTAGAGAGGGAAAAGGAAACCTCTCCCCACCCCCTACCTCCACCATTTTCTCTTTGTCTGCAGCTTCCTCAAGTGCTGCCTGTCCCAGATTTTCTTTCATTTCTCTTCTTTCGTGCTTTTAACTAAATGGAAACATAGACACTTCTTTCTACTTTTCAGGATATTTTCCTTATTACACCTGTGGCATACCCCTAAAGTTTTTTGTTTCTGTTTTTTTTTTTTTTTTAAACATCTGGAGAGTAACAGATCAGATCAATCCCAGCACCTTTCTTATAAGGCTAGATGACTTGAGGGGAGTGCAAAATTAATAGCTGGGCTTTTTAAGCTTCAGATTAGAGCCTGATTCAAGAGTTCCTGAGGAAGCTAAACTAGATGGCTTGAGGACCTGGTGATTTAATGAAGTATTTTGCCAGCTGCTGTCTCTCTCTTTTAATCTGTCTCTGCTTACTTGCCATTTTGGCAACCTTTTCTCAAAGCCTGAAAATAACCGGACCCTCACTGAGACTGTGCTGGGTCAGACCTCCACCACACTTTCACAAGCAACACTTAAATCTATGTGTGAGGATGCTTGTTAGAAGTGACTGGCTGGGCCAATAAATATGCTGATGATATGTAAAGTAATCATTTGAAAACAAAGAAAGATATTGAATAAACTATTCTACCTCAGAATTCCCCTACCAGCTTTCCATCAAGTTCTGAAATGTTGAATTCAGAGTTAAGATATCCTCATCTTTTTTTTTTAAAGATTTTATTTATTTATTTAACAGAGGTCACAAGTAGGCAGAGAGGCAGGCAGAGAGAGAGAGAGAGAGAGAGGAGGAAGCAGGCTCCCCGCTGAGCAGAGAGCCCGATGTGGGCTCCCTCCCAGGGCCCTGGGATTATGACCTGAGCAGAAGGCAGAGGCTTTAACCCACTGAGCCACCCAGGAGCCCCAAGTTATCCTCATCTTAAACACAAAGCTGATTTTTTTTTCCATTCCTTGTAATGTTCTCTACAGTTACCAGTATTTGTTGGCATTTGTCATATTTGA